TAAAACTTCTGCCACCAATAGTTACTATGGTGCTAGGAGGCATCGATTATTTTTAAAATTTCAATAGCAAAATTACAATAGAAGAGATTAAAACTAAATCTAAAAATTAATTCATAACTAATTTTTTGTTTCAATAAAAATAAAAAATTATTCTAAATAACTAAAGTATCCATTCTAGAATATATAAATTAATACTTAAGATAACCTAACAAGAAGAATCTAAATAAATAATTAACGTATAACTAATTTGTCAACACTACTTAAGTTATTACTTAAGACAATGTAATGAAATAATAATAAATTAAGTGTTGCCAAAAGATAGTGAAATATCCGAGTTTATGGTGTCACGTAAGGGAAATATATAAAGATAGATTAGACATAAAATTGAGTTTCTGGATACAGTACAATTAGTTGTTTTTTTTTAAATATGTTTTCCTGTCCTTGTCGTTTTTGTTTTTTTCTCATAAATAACTCACCCAGTTATTTCAGTTCCTTTCATCTACATAAAACCATTTTATTTCAATGTTATAGCTAAAAAAAAAATTTGAATTCCATGCAGCATCAGCATTTTCTTTTATTTACAATCTTTCCGTTCTAATTATGTGCTAATTTCATAATTTTTAAAATTAAAAAATGATTCCTTCACATCGTAAATAAATTAGTTCCGCGTTTTGTTTCTTGCGCTCCTTCAATTAATAATCAGGTAAATTTGTTACAATTTTAATATGATGCACGTAGCAAAAATTCTGGTAAAATTATTGTATTGTGTAGTAAAAACATTTTTAAGTAAAAGATAAAAATAGAAATAACATAATTCTGTTTGTAAAATCAAAATATACGGTATTTAACCATTCAAATGATATCGTTTTCCATTCTTGTGGTAACGTTTTACCGAAAATTGTAAGAAATATAAAACTGAAAGCTAATCTTAACCAAATAAATGGTTTTTATGCCATGCTCTAGGGTATCAAGATAAAATTACTAACATTTTACACTTGTTATAAAACAATATTTTGCTGTTAGTTTTACTAAAATCATTACCAAAACATTTCGGTAAAATTTACCGTACTTTGTAATTCACATAATGCCAGAAACATGGTAAATTTTATCATATTCTGAAAGTTATACCCTACGTTTTTCTCCGTGTAGAATTCAAAGTGTAACTGGTTGATATGGAAAAACTGATAAGTTGGAAAAGCAAATTAGAACTTCTATTCCTTTTTGATATTTATTTATATGCATTCTTTTTTTAGCTGATTTTGTAAAGATGATTTCAGATAGCACATAAAAAATAAAATATAAATGTAAAATATTACCAGAGTCCTTCACTGAAACAAGATAAATTTTACCTTATTCTGGTAGTTTTGATCATAATTTTTTTTTCTCATGGTAGTAAATTGGACCATATTTCGTTAAAATAGAATCATAATATACTATCAATTTAAGTTGGTCGAGTAAAGGATATTTCATTAAGATGGTTTAATTTGCACGATAATATGGTCAACAAGGTATTACGATTGCAATGAATATTTTGATAATATGCAATGCTATCCAATATTTCTTACAATAACAATCAATTTTTTACAATAACAGTCATAAAGAATGTAAAGGAATTAAAAATAAAATTTAGTTTGGAAAAGAAAAATTCAAAAAATCAAATTCATTCAATCAAAATAAACATTTTATGTTACTTTTCTTTGCATCATAAAAATTTTGTTAAAGAAAAATTTAACAACATAATTAATACATTTAAGATCCGAAGTTTAATTTCATATTAATACGAGCAACACTGATTCAACATATGCCTGCTAAAGGGCAAAATAACACCAAAAAATAACTTAAAAATTAGAAAAATGATAGCTAAATATTTAAGTACATATTTCAACAATGAATACTTAAGTTCAATCATACTTACGTGAGTCAGCAAAGATAGTGCTAACCATACATAACAGAAGCAACATTTTTTACTTTAGTGCCGACAATAATATATAGATAACAAACAACTTTTCAAACTTGCTCAGTAATTTAATAGCGAGAAAATGTAATTGTAAGACGATAATTATTTAAAATAATGTTATACTTGATTGCAGGAAGTAACTTTAGGAAATGCTATCACAGCCTTTACGTTTCTGCAGGAAGTCCTTTCTGTTTGTATTTAATTTTAGTTGATAACATCACTAAAAAAATCACTACTACTGTGAATTTCAACTTCAAGTGTTGAAATAACTTTTTTATCTGAAATTTCTTTTTATATAAGTAATGAAACGATTGTATGTAACAAATTTTAAAATAAATTGACAGTATTTTGCTCTTTTAATTTTAATCAATGCAATTCTAAACATTGGGATCTTTTCTCAAAACACTGCATCGAGAAAAATGCTTTTAAACTTTTATTAAGACGCATAATTCATATAATTGAACAAGTCTTCAAAATTTCACTTGTATTTACTTATATGTCACCCTTTCGCTAACTATTCTTTTTCTTAGGATTAAGGGTAAAAAAATTGTGGAAATATACTAAGATAATTTCTTACAAATATTTCCAATGAATGTATATGAGGTTTACTTGCAAGTTACACAAATTTGTTTTGTGTTCTGTTTTCTTCTAACTTTTCTCATTCATTCTTTGTCCCATTTGCACCCTAACCCATAATATTAACGTCATAATCATGTAACTATTAATGTATCCTTAAAATGGCTCAATTCATATTATAATTTAATGGATCCTTAAATGGTTAAAATCCTATCCTTTTCATCGACTTTCTTCTAGTCAACGGTCTTTTGGAACTGGTCTAACTTTGTCATACCTTGAAGGATTATAGACAACAACAACAACCAAAACAAGGATCCATCATAGTTAGTTTCAAAAAGTAAATGAACAAAAACATTTTGTGAAAGTAAGATATTTTTTAAAAATTAAGAGAGCTACATACTTTTTTAATGTTTGTATTTTTTTTTACCATTTTCTTGTTACAAATTTTGGAGCATATTGAATCAAAAACTTTTATTTTATTTTAGAACCGTCATTGAACAGCTGACCCAATTTTGGGGCTTACGACTATTAATGTTCAACTCCGTAGCCTTGTAATTTTGAACCCATACCAGAAAACAAGGGAACTGGATCAAGTATTAGGAGAAATTTGCCTTCGTGGAGGACTTTTAATGGAAGTAACCCGCATTTGCGTTACATGGAGGGTAAGACCACAAGTACCTCCCACGATTAGCCTGATGGCAAGGGGACTCTAGCCCATGATACCGGACGCAACAAAAAATCCTTCAAAATGTAGTTATGTTTAATTTTGATCAAATAAATATCCATAACCATGCTATTTCTAATCTATTTCAAGTCATAAAATAAATCATGACCGACCCAATCCCTACTGTAATTAATGCTCAGAACTTCAAAACTTGTTATTACAACTGAATATTTTGTTCTAAGATTCCCCCTTTGCATTCCATTAAAATGAATAAATTCTCTACAATCTCAAAAAATAGATTCAAATTCGAATGATAAAATTGGCTCTATAAACCTTCATATATAGAGAAAAATTTTAAAATAATTTGAACCAAATTTCTGTTCATGTTCCCATGTATAGTATCGTATAAATAAGTTTTAGAAGGTATCTGGTTAGATAGTTAGTTTCAATCTGACTATCTTCTCAACTATGACTCACTCATATTCCATATTCTTAACAATGGTATAGTGATAAAACTTCTGGTAGCTTCTTTCTTATCAAAACTTTTTTTTGACAACTAACTTCCATAAATCAATTGTCCTCAAAATAATATATAAAAAAACGGAAGAAATGATAAATACTATAAGTTTAAGATGATAGGTTCAACAATAATTATAGTACTGGAGCCAATAAAAGCGTTAATCAATTGGACACAACAAGCGTGTTAATCAATTGGACACAGCAAACGTATTCATCAATTGGACACAACAAACGTGTTCATCAATTAGGGGGAACAAATGCGTTAAGTGAAAACCAGACCCATTTTTTGTTTTCATGCCATCAATGTTTTACTGCGCAGCCTCGAAGATTTGAAACTAACCAAGAAGACAAGCATTTTAGATCAAGTATATGAACGAACTAAACTTCGGTTAACTTTTGTGATTAAACTAACCTACACTTGCGTTACATGATAATGAAAAACGTAAAAAAAAACATCCCCTATGATTACCCTGAGGGGGCAAGGGTATCCTAGACTCTACGGATATTTTACATCTACTTTGTGTTCCGGACGAACCGGGAGCCAAATGTGAACTAACCCCGAACCTGGGCCACATCGTTGGAAGGTGAGTTTTCTATCCCCAAAGCTACCACTCTGTGTAATCAAGTTTAAGAAAATATATTTATTTTACACGACAATGTGATTCAATTTGGTGCGATATAATGTCTGGCTCAAACTTGACCATATTTCTAATTAATTCACATATAAAATTCTAACAGTTTATGAAAATTTTAATATTTACTTGTTTTAACTGGTTGAAAATACGATTCCCATCTTAATTTTATGAAACAAATATACAACTTAATATTATTAAACAAATTACTAACAACTTAATATTATTATACACATTATGAGCCACTTAATATTGTTAAACATTCAGAACTTAATACTTTTTTGATAAAAAATAAAATTTCAAGGAAAATAACTTATCTTTAGAGAACTACCAGGAACAGATGTTTAGATCATTTTTTCTAATAATAATTTTATTCAAAATACAAAATAAAAGTAATATTTCAAACTCAATAACAAAATTTAAAAAAATAAAAAAATGTTTGTTTTTGTTGATCGTAATTTGAAATTGTTCGATCAGAAGACTTCATTTCATCATTTTCAGATCATGTTTGATTCCACTAAAAAAGTCATAAAAATAACTATTTATAAAAGTAATACAATGTAGGTAATCATGCAAATTATTCATGATTTATCACATTATAACATTGCATAAAAATACAAGTGAGGCTAAAATAAAAATTAAAAATAATAATAATAATAAATATATAGCTTGAACGAACTGGAAAAGTAGATAAATAAATGAGATTTTTCAGGATTAAACAACGAAGCTTGATGTAACGTGTTTCAGTTTTAAACTAAGATAATGTTTTAGTACTGACTTTTTATTAAAGCTTTTTGAACATTTTGTCAAATTCTTTTACAAATTTTTGCCTAGCTGGATTCATTTGAAGCTTGTTTCCCATGAAAGAATGAGCATGATATTTTCTGAAAATAAACATTTATGCTTATAAATATGTATAGATTATGTATTAAAAAAGATACTTTGTCCATGTCTCGCAAAGTTATAAAGATTAGAGGAAATGAAATCAGCTGTTATAAAAAATAAGGCTGGCGACATAATTGAAAGTGCAATTTAAATACATTGCAAAAACTGCGGTGTTTCAACACGAATCAAAATTTTATATTGAAAAACTCGAAAAATGGTGAGAATGATTGCTTTATTTCAAGTTAATATCGAAGCAAGAGTTTTTACTCACTTCAAAGGGTATAGTTAAATATTAACACCAATAATTAATAACGCTAAGACCTATCTGTTACTTGTTGGTACAGAAGGTTGCGTTTTTCGTTGTTCCGTAATTTTGGCGAATAATTAGTGTATATTTAAACTATTTAACTAAATTCCTGTGTGAAATGAGGATAGAAATGTTTTAAACGTTTAAAAAACGATTTTGGACTATGATGAGGAGTTTTAAATCCAATTTATAGTCAATATATTTAATGCTTTCTTGTGTTTTAATTTGTTGTACTTCGGGATTCATTTGAAACTGGTTTTCTTTGTAAAGGTAGGGTAACAATGTTCCAAAATTACGCATACATGCTAGCAAATAGAAATAAAATTGTTCTTAAAGGAACAATAAATAATCCAAAACCTGCAAAATTATAAACATAGGTGAAGCTAAAATCAACAAATATAAAAATATTCAAAACTAATTTAAACTCTGTTTCTAAAAAGTTTACAACGGAACTTATTAGAATGTGATTTAATAAAAATTTTGAGTAGTTTTATAAATGTAGACTATTTATTGAAGGTCATCTGGATGACATTTTACATTTCTTTAATTTTTTGCCTTGTTAGATTTGTTTGAAACTTGTTTACCAACACTGTTAAAAAAAGTTTTTAGAGTATCTTATCTCCAAAAATAATGCTAACAATTTTGCGCTAAAGTGTGTTCCATTATACTAAAAACCAGAGATAGTTCCTGGTGTAGTGAAGCATTAAGAATGTTCTTTTTCATTACTTGAAGTCAAGTTGCTGCCACCATTTTCGGAATTAAGATACACTAAAATTTATAATTTGAGTGATATAAGATGCACATAAGAACCAGTAAAGTTATTTTTACGATACGAAAGTAAGAATCATAAATTTCAGATTCATACACTTGTTCTTAGAATAAAATTTGTTTGTAAATCAAAAAGCTTGAAGAGTACTAGCATGAACTAGGTTTAACAGAAAAGAAGCAGATAAGTATTATGCATTATAAACTTATTTAATACAATTCACAGATATTTAAAAATAAATATAATATATAATAAATAAATATATATAATAGACATCTATATAACTAGTGGGCTGCGCCCCCTGCTAGCTAACGCTCGCCAACCCCCGAAAATTGTTACGCAATCTTATATGGTTTGCTTCGCAAACCAAGCTCGCTTCCCTAGCTACTAACTTAGGTACATTGCAAATGCACGAAACTCTAAGAATTCAAAACAATCATTCAAATCCATATAAAAACTTTTTTTTTTAAAAAAAATTTCATCTTTTTAGTAAATAATAAGTCATTAAAATAAATTAGAATTCAAATAAATGACATGTAATTCGTTAAACCTATTAGAAATGTGCTATAGTATAAAATCTTAAAGCGTAACAGCACGACTGAGACTCATTTTTCAATGAATAACTAATAACAATAATAAAACAAATAAATTCGTGATATAAATCAAAAATCGTCAAATAAATTCGTAATATATAAATTCGTAAAAAAAGCGCTTTCGACAAAACATTAAAATAGAGATCTATCGACAAAGACTACTCACTTCTGCCTAGCTTAATAGTATGAGATTGTCGCAGCTGATGCTCTCTGGTTATTTCAGTTTCCATTTTTAAAAGCGTTACTTGTTGAGCCACTTCAGCTAGATTTGGCGTATGACATTTTTAGCGGCAGTCATTGGTCGATTCGCCGTGTAAGAGAAATAGTAACGTAAACAAAACAAAGCAAACGTTGACACCGGTGGAAAAGAAATACAGCCAAAATTTGGGAGCTACGTAAGAGAATTATGTATATTATACATATAAATAACCTTATAACGCAACTAAACAAAAACATATAACACAGCGTATTTTAAGATTACCTGAACGTACCTGAAGTTGTTAATGTACCTGAAAATGCATTTTATATTTTAGAAAACGAGAACAAACTCCCTAAAACTCGTAGTCGATTGTAAATATACCTCTAATGATATCCAAAGTGCATCAACAGTAGTGCTTTCAGAAGTGGAAGTAATTCATGTATTTTGAGAATACGCGAAGAATGGGTGTTATCTTTTTTCACTTTAGGTGCTTAAATTTAACATCACTCTTTAATTTACATATGAAAGCTCTATTTGTTGTAAAAATAATTTAAAGTGTAATTTCAACAATTTCAGGTCGTATGTATTTAGCATGCTACTAACTAGCGATTCTGCTAGTTAATAACAATCAAAACTATAAACGCAAGGGACACTAGAATCAACAATTACCATTGGAAATTTTACCTTGTGCAATTTGGCAAACAGCTTCACAGTCTTCTAAGCTTTGAAAGTTGTTATCGTTTCCTTCACATCCTCTATAAATAAAGTCCTGACATTGTGCACTTGTCCTGTTATAGAAGAATCTTGGAAAACTTTGATCACATGTGCCGATTTCTCTATCCTGCTGACAAGCGAATGGTAGTTGTGGAGCTGGAAAAATATTTACTGATTTTATAACAAACTCTTTTCAAACAAACAGCTATTTTTCCATAATATTTTTTTAGTGATATTAGATGTCTGGAAATCAACTGAAAAATTTCTAAATAAAAATTTTGCTTTTACGTTTTGTGTTGAAATTACAATCCTATATTTCATTTTTTAAGGCAAGCTAGGAATGCAGCAAGAAATACCTTCGGAAACATATGTTTACCTAGTAAGAAAATGAAAATCTGTCTGTATAAAAAAGTCTGAAGGGCCGTACACGCCAACGCTCTTTTGGTTATTTAGCTTAACATTAAATTTTTTGATGAGCAAAAGCTATAGAATATAGAAACTTGAACGAGCTGTAATGGCGTAGAGGAAAGAGAGCTCGCCTTCCAATGAGGTGAACCGGGTTCGAATGCCAGCAATGACTGGTCGATTCGAATTCCACACCCAGCTCGCACAGACCACAGTGCTGACTTGGTGATTGACTGATCATGGGTTAGAGTTCCCTTGCCGTTAGGCTGACCATGGGAAATTTTCATGGTTTCCCTCTCTATGTAACACAAATGCAAGTTAATTTCATCGAAAAGTTTTCCAGGAAGCCAAATTTCTCCCAATACTTGATCCGGGAATTCCCTTGTCTTCTTGATTGGGTTAAAACTACAAAGCTACGGAGTTGAACATTGGTAGTCTTAAACCCAAAACTGGGTTGGCTGTTCAATGACTGTTATAAAATAAAATAACTATAGTGCGTAGAAAAGAATATAAGTATTAGCATGAAATAAAAAAATTTAGCATTCTATAGTTTGTTGGAGAATTATTAACTGTTAAACTTTGAGTAAAAAAATGGTTGATCACTGAAATGCTATTACAGATTTGAAATTTGACGTTCTGATAGTTCTTTTTTGTATCATAGTTTTAACGAGAATGTTTTTTTCAGAAGTTTGTTTGAAAGTTATTACAAATATTAGAGCTTTTTCATGTTTTTTCTGCTTTTTTGCTTTAAATATTAACCATTTATCTAAAGTTGTAGAAAAATTTTCTCTCTCATGAGATCATTATTTCTTTATTTTATAAGCTCGCTTTGGACTTAATGTCAATCAAAAGTAGCAAAAAGAGAGAGATTACATGTTGCCAGGTGTATAAATCTTAGCATTCATAAGGAAATTTAAAAAAAAAAAAAAAAAAAAAAAAAAAAAAAAAAAAAAAAANAAAAAAAAAAAAAAAAACATAATTGATAGCGATAAAAATTATTCCTTACTTGCATTATTATAAGCCTCTTCAACGAGTACAATTGCTTTGCATTTTTTTTCCTCTTATTAAGTCTCAAAATCTGTTTTTCTTGGATTAATTTTTTTTCAAGTAGAGATACTTATTTTTCAAATCTAAGTAATCATCTCTTGCGTTACAATTAACGCATCAAGAAAATGTTCTTATATGAAACTAATAAAATTGTATATTTTGAAACCAAAATGTTCGGAATATTTGAGGGAAATACGTACGTTTACGAAATAAGTAATGGTGACTGAAATGCGATTACATGAATTAGCGAGCGGAGCCTCCCAGTTCTTTAAAAAATTCGGAAAATTTTTTTACATAAAATTTGCACTTAAATTAAATTTGCATTTAAATAAAATTTGCACTGAAATCTTCAAAACGAGAAATAATTATGCGTATCTTTCTGCATTTTGTGACAAGCAATTTTATTTAAAACGAATTATACTACAAGATATTACGCGTAAATAGTATTTTAATTCATTTTTTTTTCTAATTTTTCTCATTAAGCATATTGTGTGTATACCGCTGATATTTAATAATTGTTTCTTTCTTTTTTTTTCGTTTCGTTTTTTCAGATTTTTACAGCCTCTGTGACATATAATTTTTTCCTAAGCTTTTGAAGTATTTTGCTTTTCTTAAAGGGGTGAAAAAATTTCAATGATTCATAATAAATAAAAAAATTATGTGTGTTTTTTTCCTTTTTGGAGGTGTATTTAGAACACGTAGCTGCATTTTCAATTTATTGAAAAAATTTAATGAGAATAATACTATTTAGATACCTTCGATACAAGTAGAATCACAGTCTTCTAATGATTTAAAATTATTATCGTTTCCTTGGCAACCACCGTAATAAAACTGCTGACATCTCTTAGTTCGTTGATTGTAGTAAAACCTGGGTACCAGTGCTCTACACGGCCCAACTTTTCGCGGCTGCCGACAAAAATCCGTTGCTAAAAATATTTTATTTAAATTTGGTTAATACAAAACATATAGATTTATTTTAAGACTCATCATAGTACAACAAAGACATTTTTTTTTAAAAAAATTGAAAACCCGCGAAACATGCTTGAAAAATTAAATTTTAAAATGAATAAAAAAAATTGTTTCAGATAAATTTAATTAGATTCTCACCCGTATTAAAGAAAATATTTTAGAAAATATGGCTTTTAGATAACATTAGTAGAAGCCTGATTATTAGGTACCTGATTAATTGCGGAATCGCGGCATTTGTTTATGTCACGATTCAGTAGTCATTCTGGCAACTAAAAGGAAAGGTTTTCTAAGGTTATTCCGTAAAGCAACAAAATGCAATGCATTATCTGGAAGTTACGAGATGAGGTACGGATCTAGCTGAAATAATCTTACTAAGAGCTGATTAGAAACTAGATTTAATCAATAACAAACAACTGCTATTCAACTGTGAAATCTAGTTATGATGAATTTATAGTTTAAAACGCTGAGGGTTTAAGCTAACAGTAATTGAAATAAGATTTGGAATTATGCATTTATCATTGCTGAAAATTGCTTCTCCATCTTTTGAACATTCTTAATGAATTAAAACCAATGAGACTATCATCTTCTGATCTCTCTCTAGCATAAAGAGGCACCAATGATTAAAATTCTATTATCATCTAATAATATATCAAAGTTTCAAAAAAATGCTAAATGAAAAACCTACTCAGTTTAAAATGGTTACATGGTTACAGGCATTTTTAAATGCTGATATATTCTACAGAGTACGGTATTTAATACATTGCTAATAACATAATTGATCGCTTTACTGCCAGTCTTACAATATTTCTTTTAATTAACTTATGTGTTTTTCAGGAATTAAAACCGTTTCGTCTACCTCGCCATTTCATAGATTGTCTAGATATTTTATATACAATGCCTATGTGAGATATACATTAATTCTCATATCTTATACTTAACTAAAAATGCCTAGTACTTTATAAAATATTCTTAGTATTCCAATAAAAACTTTCGTTTCATGCAGTGCCGGTAACATATACATTACAATTATTATAGAAAATAGTGGGTTCATGTAAATAAATTTCATTATATTATAATAAATGGCATAGTTTATATGTCATATTCTAATGTGTTAAGCATTATATAATAAAACATGTCACATAAATATTAAGAAGAAAAATAAGTACGTACTATTGTCATTTGCACAATTTTCTGGTAAAACGCAGTTTCCATCCTCTTCTAAAACATAACCGCTTTCACATTCACAACCGGTTTTGCAAACTTGAATACAAAATTCTGGTGGAGTTCGAAAATTTTCACACGTCACAGGGCAGAATGTCCCACATGAATTGAATTGAGAATGTGGAGGACAAGCTTTAAAAGTACATAATAGAAATCATTTTTTGAATATATCAATACAAACCACTTTCTACAGTTTATTTTAAAAAATTATATTTGAAAAAAATACGAATCTGTTTACTTTTTACCGGGCAATCCACAGGCAAAACGCATCTACCATCTTCAGTTAAAACATAACCAGAGAGGCATTCACATCCGATCTTGCACATTGTGGTGCAGGATTCTGGAGGTCTTGAGTAATTCTCACATGTTAGTGGACAAGAGCTACCGCAGGAACTGAAAACTGAATTTGCTGGACAATCTTAAATTAAAAAGTCATGAAACATTTAAACTATATGTAAATGAAATCAATGAATTCATGTTCTGAAATTTTAAATTTGCACTTATATTTACTTTGCAGTGCACAGTTCTCAGGTAAAATACAGCTTCCATCGCTGGTTGAAACGTAGCCATTATCACATTCACATCCGATACGGCACATAAGATTGCAAATGTCTGGTGGATTACGGTAATTTTCGCAGGTCAAAGGGCAGTCTGTTCCACACGGATTAAAATGAGAGTTTGCAGGGCAGTCTTAAAAATAATGAATAAATATTACTTGATTTTTCATGCAAAAAATACAGAAATATCGTACATTATTTCAGTAGCTTAGTTGCCAAGTTATTGAAAATAAACATTCGGAAAAAATATAGTCTATGAAGATAAATTATAAACTAAAGTGACTAGATTTTTATTTCAAAAAAGGAGATTGCAGTAACAAAATATAAATACTATTTGATCAGTTTTTAGGCTAACAGATATTTGACATTACTAAGACAATATACAATATTACTATGACATTATGCAATAAACAAATATACTTTCCAATGGAATTAGAATCTGGCTTTAGCTATAATCAATACATGCAAGCAAGTAATCCGAATCCACATTAACCCCAAGATAAGTCTGAGTAATGTCTCCATCAAGTCTGAGTAATGTCTTGCGTCAATTAGTACGTGATCAATTTGATTAGCATAAATGCCACATGGGGCACTCCAGGTAGCTTCGTGAATATTTTCATGCTGAAAGAACATGCTTCCTATAATCATATTATGTGAAGTGACGAAATCAATAAATTTGCTTCCAATATCATTAGTTGTATCATGTAAATCAAGTCCTCCAATTACAATTTGAAATTTCCTTTCTCTACCTTCTTTAGCATATAGATCCCCCAAAATAATTTTTACATCATATAGTTACGAAATCCTTTAAAGTTTAATATTCAACTCCTCTGAATAAGGTTAATACATCAAGCATTCTTACTTTCTCGTGGCCCATTTGGTAGAAAAGAAAAAGGACAGTTTTCAGGTAGTATACAGCTGCCATTTTCTGCCCTGACGTATCCTTCATCACACTCGCAACCAGAATAACATATTCGGTTGCATTCCGTAGGTGGATTTCGAAAATTGTCACACGTTAGAGGGCAAGCAGTTCCACAAAGTACAAATTTAGAGTTTTCAGGACATTCTTTCGAATAATTGAGGTTTTCTGAAATGAAATATCATTTTATATATTTATATTTTCTGATCTCTTTTATATATTTTTAAATGCATTAAGATTTTAATAGTTTCTATTTTAGTGCTTAATTTTAACCAAAAAATCTAAAATAATAAATTTATAAACTATATCTTGCAATTATAATAAATTTCACTTGTGTAATTATTATTTTCAATTCTGTTGAAGGGTGGTAAAATTCTAAAGCGTTTATAAATAGGAATACAAATACAAGGAAACGTATGTAAAAGTATTCAATATGTGTTCAGAGATTATATTTCAATGTGTACAATGTTCCGCAATCTCCACCTTTCATGTGTATTTTTGGATTCTTCGCCAAAAACCATGCAAGCAATAAGGATTACTAATTCACTAACTTTATGAATGAAAGTAATTCATATTTGAGATGATTTTAGAAATGCACTGAGCCAGTTTAAAGATTTGATTTTAGAGGGTTATTTGTAAAAATTCCCCTTACCATATGCTCATAATATGCTCGTCAAAAGTAAAGTAAAAAACATACACATTAGGGTCTCAAATTATTTTAAGCAAGGAAAAACAGTAACGTTAAGATAATCTGTCAAATCACAAATGTGGAGGTAAAATGTTAAACATTAAAATCAGTTTGATTGCCGGATGAAGCAGGGAAACGTTTCTACTCATCACCTTTCAACTCTCATTCCTCTGGCAATTTGTGCAAATTAAGTTAGTTCAGAAGTTTCCTTTTTTTCTGAGCGAACATGAATATCGTTTCTTTTTTCTACTTTTGTAAAAAACTTTTATGATTTATGAAACTAATTTCTTTTCCCATGCATTAATTTTGTAATGCTAATAAATAATTTTTTTTCTAATCATATTTTGTTACTAATAATACTTTTCAGCAATATATTTTGTGATGGAAATTTAAAGTTCGTATTTTTTTAAGTATTCAAAAAATTTTTAATCATAGTAACATTACGAGCAATACATTTTTAACTACGGAAATATCGTTATACTTTCAAGACATTTAATCAAATTGCGTGAGATAGAACCTTTGCTTACCCTTTACTGTTCGAATTGACATTCTAAAATTATGATGAAACAATCGGCTGCCTGTCTCGATGACCGTAAAGTTTACGGTAAAAAAAAAACATTTTTTACCTTTACAGTTTTGAAACTGTTTACAATTCGCATGGTGAAAAAACCGTGAATGCAAAACTATGCAGCAACAATCATGGTTTCAAACCCGTAAAAAAATATATTACTGACATTAGAGATTTAAAAAGCTTTATGGTGCTGCAATCTATGCATTAATGAGCGTATCGTATTCTAATAGTCCAGGGTAACGAATTGAGGAGCGCAAGACACTGAAAATTCTTTATGTGTTGAAAGGAATGCATGAAATATTACAATATCAACTCTAGGACTCGAACCCTCTATCTGTCAGTTATGAAATTGACATATTCGCCCTTTCGGCTGTAATACGTACCCATCTGCAAGGATTTAAGAGGCTACATTAGATGAGTCTAGTTGGTGCAATAATATTCTAGTTGTTTAACCGTATGAGGTGAAAGCAGTTAATAAACAGTTTTTTTCACAGCTAACAATTTTTCTCACAATAACAATTTGAATACCATCTTATTTATTAGACTGTTTTGTTTGAATATGGTAAAATAAATTGTTATTTAACCATTTTTACCGATAAATTTCTAACGGTATGCTCATTATATTTAGGTAGAAATAAACAAAATTAAAATGTAACATTAAAAAATTACTACATTAGAGCTAAAGCTAGAGCCTTTTTCTGCATATATTGTTTAATATTTTTTTTTAAAAAATCAGTTTTCTCATACTTATGAATATTTTTAAAAAACGTATTGAAAAGCGGGAAAATGCTTAAAAAACATTTTTAGTTAATAAATTTAATAAATTTTTGACAAAATGTATTTTTGTCTCAACTGCATATGAAGTAATCTACATATAAGAATTAAGGAACCTGAATACGTTATTTAAAAAAAATTATATTTAGGATGAAAAAAATAATAATATGCAGGTGATGGATTAATTGTTAAAATTTTTTAATAATATATCAATCTGAACTGGTCAAAAAAGAACAAAAATCAACCTTTTTTCCCAATCACATAACTTCGTTAAAATTTATTATTTTTGCATTACTCTTGCTTTATAATACTCCTAAAAATGCATCTTAGATTATAGAGTAAGCATTAGACCTAATATTTATAATCAGAAATTTTACAGTAAACACCGAAAACTATTTGGCAAAAAAGGTCAAAAGTTGCGATTAGTTATTTTTATGTTTTTAAAATGAAGGAAAATAACAGAAAAATTAGTTTTTGGAAAAATTTTAAAAAAGACTCAATTATTAAATTAATAACTTATATAGATGTTTCTCAAATCATCATAGCTTTTGTTTCATTTGACTTAAAAAGAAAACTCAACAGGTTTTTGAAAGTGAAAGGATCCATAATTTTATTATATAAAGAAAACAGAAAAATTATGTTTTGGTCAAAAATAAATGCAAAAAGGAAGTCGGGTACCTTAAAAGGATTAGGTTTATGTACCTTAAACCTCAAAAAATAAATAATATGCTTTATTTTATCGTTTCTAATATATAGCAAATATTTAAGTTCACAGCAAATGATAAATCATTACTTTATTAACACAAATAAAAAAGTTGTTTTCAAATTATTTTTAAATAAGTGTTATTTCTCATAAATATCTAATTTTTCTACTAACACATTATGATTATTATTTTATAATGATTGTTATTATATTATTATGTAACTTGCTCTGTCATCTACAAGGTTGTCTGGAATCTTAAAAAGAATAGGTTTATGTCGCTTAAACCTTAAAAAATAAAAAATATGCTCTATTTTATCATTTCGAATGTCTGCCCGATATTTTTGTTGAAAGCAAATGATAAATCATTTCTTTATTAACAGAAATAAAAAATTATTTTAAAATTATTTCTTAAACGAGTATTATTTCTCTCAAATAGCTAAATTTTCAACTAAGACATTATAAATGTTATTATTATTTGATTTATTATATTATTATTCGATTTATTAAATTATTATTTGGTTTATTGATTTAATGTTAAAGGAATATTATTATTTGATTTATTATATTATTATTTGATTTATTATGTTATTATATAACCTGGTTTCTCATCCACGTGGCACGAACATTCATTTTTTGGCATTCTAATATAAAGGAAACTCTAATTCGTATAAAATATTTCACACTTAATCAACAAAACTTGTCCAAAACAATATGCTTTTCTTTTATAATGTAATTGAAAACATCAGAGAGCTGATATTGTTATTTTTTGCCCATAAAAATTCTTTAGTCATATACAAAACTTTATTTGTTTTGAGAAATAAAATTTTGTTGAAAAACTTACATACCTTTGCATTCCTGTAAGCATTCAATTTCAGTTTCATATATGTTTCCATTTCCACCACATCCTCCGTAAATAAATCTCTTGCATGTTTCTGTATCAGAATCGTAGAACCAAGCTACTGAATATGCTTTACACGATCCAGTTTCACCCGCACCTGAGCAAGACTTAGGAATTGCTAAAAAAAATTTAAAAGTTAGAAATTAAAAATTAAATACTTAAACTTTTCTCCATACAGTTTTAATCATAAGTTTTAATCATGAGTTTAAAACTACACCTTACTCAGAAAGAAATGTTAAAGGAATCTTATTATATATATTGTAAAACCAGGGGTATAATATCTCTCCGAATTTGATATTAAGGTATATTAATTATACTATATGTAAATGTATTATTCATATAATTATATATTGTAAATTTATATATAATATATTATAATATATAGAATTAATAATATAATTAATGATATATTATAAATTTATACCATATGTAAATTTAACACCAAATATAACTTTCATATACAATTTAAAGGCGGCATGAAAGCATTAAACATCTAAAATGCAAGAAGTTTATACCAAAAACACATGCCTTCATACCAATTGTTAAATATTTTCTATTCCAAAAACTCCAATGTTGGCGCGTTTTGGTTATCGTCTGTAATCTATTGCAATCGATAACGAATTAGCGAGTGTTCGTGTTTATTTTCAACGTCGATTTTCATCAACAGGAACACTAATCCAGGAACTCTCCTAGGTACTGCACCACTTAGGTGTAAAATAGTTGCCACCATTTACACTATATACAGTGTGAGTAACTTTTAATCTAACTAATGATCTTGTGGCAGGATTTTGCGTTCAATGATCTACTTACTGTGGACAAAACCATGAGTAATGTATTTAGAAAAAAGCTTCAAGTTAAGCATTCAGGTTCGTAAATTTTCATGATACAGATAAGATTTTCATTTAGATTTTTAACATTATAAAAAATATTGATGTATATCAACACCAAAAATGGTGGCAATTCATTTTCATCAAAGAATTACAGTGCAGATCCGCAGATAGTTCTTTGGTATCAATTGTGCTTCACTACACCTCTGATACCAAATTTAATAAGAATATTCTCTGAACAGAATAAATAAAACATTTTACATTCGGATGAGGAACCTAGATGAATAAAACAAAAAATTTTAAAAGAATGTCTGAAGAAACTTAATTTAAGCAAATACTTGTTTGAGAATCTCCACAAGTAACCTCACATATTTCTTGTATAAAGAAATTATTTGCATTTCCACCGCATCCCCCATAAACAAATTCTTCACAATGACCACTGGTTTGGTTAAAGGCAAACCTATAGTGCAAAGCACGGCAAATTCCACTGTCCACTGGTAAATTGCATAGATCTGGCTTTCTTGCCTGCTGTATAGTGTTATCTGCAAGAAAAATTATATTATTTTCTGAACTAAGTGAGGAAAGTATATTTTAAATTTTCATAATTTTTTCATTTCACCCTAATATTGAAGTTCGTAAATTATTCAAAAGATGTTATAAAATATTGAAAATTTTAGCTTCAAAATCGATTTCATCCCTATGAATAATTTCAAAATTCTTATTTGTTTATTGAAAGTCAAAGATATACGCTACCCTACAATAATGGAAGAGACACTTTCAGCTTTTAATATTTTTTTGAATTTCTCAAGAAATACTTAGAGGACGATTTTGTAATTTTAGAAGTGTTTAGTTCTTCCTATTTTTCATACCTGGCAATCAAGCTTTGAGGGATTCGACTGTAAACTATGAACGAAAACAGGTATTTTTTGAACGCCCTAAGTCCGAAAATCAAGCAATAAGTTCGTAACTTGTATCAATTTCTTTGGCTGTTATTTGCAATAACTGCATAAAATTTAAATCTAACTTAAATATTTATAAAGATATGAATATTTTTATTAAAAAACTCATTTTTTGCCTTACGTTTTTTTGCTATAACATTAAAAATATTCAATAAAACTAAAAAAAAATTTTAGAGGATAAATTATAAAATTATTTCTTTTAAAATTTGAAAGAAAAATTTTAAAAAACTTGAAGGTATAAGTTATTAAAGTAGTTCTTTTGTACAGCGCATGCGCGGAAAAAATTTAAGATTATTTTTTTAATAACTTTTGTAGTATATTTGGCAACAAATGGAAAAAATTTGATTTGAATATCTTAAAAACGTAAAAAGTTTCAAGCAATTTTCTAAGTAGTTCTTGTACTTTTGAAAAGAAAGCTTAAAAGGATTAGGGGTTTTCTAGATATTTAAGTTTGATCTTGCTATCCGGTTTTTAAAAGATCGTTGAATTTGCAATACTTCAGAATGAAATTTATGGAAAACCTCTGGTTATTTTAAGCTATCTTTTTATTAAAATTTTATGCAGTTTTTGCAAATAACAACCAAAGTAATCGATACAAGTTACAAGTTTATTGTTTTATTTTCTGACTTAAGGGGATTTAAAAATACTTGTTTTCTTTCGTAATTTATACTCGGTCCCTCAAGTCCCTGAATGCTTAAAACTCGACTGAAAAAATGCATGAAACACTTTTCAATCCTCTAAGTGATTTTTGAGAAATTCAAAAAAAAACATCAAAAACGGTATGTATCTCTTTCATTATTGTAGGGCAGTGTATCTTCAATTGAAGAATTCAAACTATTCAAAAGATAAGTTAAAATTAAGGAAATTCAATTAAATTTGATTTCATATACCTGAACAATTATCAAATTTTTATTTGTGCATTAAATAAAAATAAAAATTACACTTTAAATTGAATAATGCAAACTATTTGAGAGATGAATAAGAGTTTAAGAAATTTAGTTCACATTCATTTTGCATATGTATGAACAACTTCAAAATTCTTTTCCGTTATATGTTCTATAAATTCTTATCGTTCAATGAAATTTCAGAATTAATATTTAAGTTCAATTTTATACTCACTTGAATCTCCAAAAGCAATACTAGTAATGCATAATAAAAATAAAATTTTCATTGTGGACTATATTTTGATCTAAGTAAAAAATTTTAGTGTGATCAGTGGTTTTCCAATAACAATGCGTAAAGTATTTTACACATTGTTAAGTTTAGTTTCAAATGAAGTCAGGAAATGCGTGCGATATTTTACAGGAAGTTGTTTCAGTTTTATTTAATTGAATAGATAACGACATGTCCTCAACTAAGCAAATGGGGAAAATATCTAAACAAAGAATCAAGGACGAGGCATACATCATAATATATTAAAATGCTTTTCTTGTATATGGAATAAAAAGTGTAAAATAAAGTTCATTTGCATGAATTATTTTGTAAAGCAAATAAATTTGAAAAACAGTTTTCATGTTTCTTACTTTATAGCTTATGTTGTTCAGTCCAAAATGCTTTAATATCAACACTTTCTAATGAAAAGAAAAGAAAGCTGAAATAATTTTGTATAGTTTAATTTAGAGACAAAATAAATTGTATTTAATTTAATTTTTACTGTGTATATACACCGAAGAGCCATTGCATTATGACCACCCTCCATCTATAACAATAGGCTCGCCCAGGTTTTCATTGCGTCTCGCCTAGGAACAATATTTTCATGGGGCACATTAGGACTCATAATCCTCATAGAACAATCCCTAACGTCTGTAAGCTACTTGAACATAGTTGCAGACCAGGTTCACCCATTCATGGCAACAGTTTTTCCTGCGGGGGGTGGTGTTTACCAACAGGATAATGCACCATGTCATAAGGGTCGAATCGTCGAGGAGCATTCCAGTGACTTTCAAGCCCTGTCTTGGCCCCCAAATTCACCTGACCTTAATCCAATAGAGCATTTGTGGCCCTACTTGGAAAACCAAATTCGTGCTGCCACGCTACCCCCTCGCAATGTGAGGGATTGCAGGACCAGTTGGTGAGTGATTGGTACCAGATACCTCAGACTACCTATCAGCACTTGTGGAATCAATGCCACGGCGGGTGCTAGCAGTTTTGAGAGATAAAGGTGGTCCTACATGTTATTAGCAGGGTGGTCATAATGTAATGGCTCTTCTGTGTATTTTGTCACCTATTAGTATAGGTTGAGACGAACTATGAAAACATAAAGGAACTATAGGTAAATGTTACGGTAAAAAACTTAAATGTCGCAAATCCTAAGTTGTCGGTAAAACCTAACTTTTACCAAAAGAACTTGGTACAAACTCAAAGTATGCTTTAATATGGTTCTATTTCAGGTGTAGACCAAGCCATTGCTGTAAAACGTAAGAGTTACGAAGTAATTTTGATAAATTTTAGGCCTTACAAGTAAAATTTAGTAAAATCTTACAAGTAAAATCTTACTAGACTTAGATCTATAACAGTTATTTCGATAGAAACCCAAATTTAAGTAAATCATAAGCTTTACCGGTAAAGCTTATCTTTTACCAAAGTGACTTGCTATAAGTCCGAAGTATGTTTTAATATAATTCTATTTCAATCTTTTTCCAAGCCTTTGCGGTAAAACCTAAGAGTTACAATGCTGCTTTGGTGAACCCTGTTTTAGTGTTAAAACCTAAGATTTACCAGACTTCGAGCTTATGCAGCAATAAAAAATTCATAAAACGTTCATTACACTTAATTTTCGTATAGTATGCAGATTATATACATAGTAAAAGTACGTATAGTAATATATAGTATATATAGTAATGTAGAGTATATATAGTAATATATAGTATATATAGTAATATATAGTATAGATAGTAATATATAGTATATATAGTAATATATAGTATATATAGTAATATATAGTATAGTGAAAGTGATACATAGCTAATAGAGTTGATTCAGAATAGTATAGTAAGTTGACGGCTTAAATGAAATAGTGGGAAAAAAGTGGAAAACAAAACTGAGAAGGAAAGAATAGGTTGAACTATCAATAGGTTTTTCAGTTCTAAACAAAAGTAAACAAACAAACAAAGACGTCGATATAATCAAAAAAGGGTTGTAAAATACCCAGAAATAATACCAGAAAAATACCCATACTTCATACCTTAATTTTTTACTTTGTCTTACACACGTGTTTTGAATTTTGTGTGAAATTTCTTTATCTGAAAAAAGCATATTATGAAAAAAGTATATGATCATGAAAAAATCGTATTTTATTAATTATTTTGGCCAGTAAGTTTCTAGTCTAATTCAAAATTAAAGATTTTAAAAACATTTAAATCTATGTTACAGACAAAATATTTTAAAATTTAAAAATTAACTCAAAACTGAGACTATTTGTTTATTACAGACAGTTTTACTATTGAATAATATCATTCAATGATCAAACTTTGCCGTAAAATTCAAAAATAACTTTAATAAATCTGTAAACATCTTTTGTAATCTATTTTATTGAAATTTTAATGTATGCTTTTTTGTCTCATTAAGTTTCAAATCTCTCGAAGAAGAAAACATCTGGCTGAATTTTATGGTAATTCCATTTCTAGTAAAAAGGTAGCAATAAACCTAGCATCAAAAATATACTGTATTTAATGGAGTCCATTTATTATTTTTTCCATTCATGAGGTAAAGGTTCACCGGAATTTCACTTTTTCAAACTTATAGTGCTTATTACCACACATTTAGTAAAAAATACGAAACTGAAAAGTAAACGTAACGGCCAATGAATGATTTTAATACCATGCTCTAAGGTATGGTGATAAAGTTACTGAATTTTTTCACATTTACCAAATTTCACCACAGATTACAAAACTCTATTTTATTATTAATTTTACCAGAATAATTACCAAAGCGTTTTAATAAAAATTATTGAGCTTTTTATCCTTCCCATGGAGGCAAAATTTTGCCACATTCTGGTAGTTTTTAACCCTCATATTCTTTCTCAGAACTTAATTATTATTTTATAATTCCTTAAAATTGAAGCCGTAAATAGAAGTATTGCTTTTTACATTAGAATCACTTGGAAATGAAAATAAGTAAAATTATATGCTCAGTAAAAGTACTTCAAACATTTATAAACAACTATTGATTTACAAAAAAAAATATTTAATGTATTTATCGGTTTCATTAAAGAAATAAACCAGAAGATTGAAAAGTACTCTAACTTTATTTTTATAATTTACAAATGGCAACATTTTATTCTTGTGACAGAATAATTTTTTTCTTTTCAGGAACAAGGGTTACAGATAACGTGCAAAAAAGAATTATAGAAGCTTGAGAAAACAATACATTTTGAGATTTTTAAGGAGATTTATTCCATCTGTTGGATGATGAGTCTTTCAGAATCACTTCTTAAGCTGAAATAAAAAACACAAAAAAAACATTTAAATTCAGCACTATTCATTCATTATTTTTTGCTTAAGGAAGCTATTGCGAAAAAAAAATGCTGGTCAGCATTGTTTACTGCTTTTGTTGGTTCTTAAAAATACAGAAAAAACTATTTTTTAATCACTTCATAAAAGTAGAAAAGCTTATAACAAATATTTATGCTGATAAACATTTATTGCTATATCGATTGAATATTTTTTCATGATTTAAAAAAATTTAAATAGTATTCAAAATTAGTTAGGTATGCAGTGAACATAATATACTTTTGCAACTTGTTATTTTTCACTATGACGGCTTCAATCGCAATAACTAATACAAATTGTAGTGTGTCTACCACTACAAAAATACAATTGCAATTCACTAGTAAATAAGACATGTTAACTCGATTCTATGTCGGGGTAACTTTCCATAGATGAAGGTTGACATTGTCGAGGCGACTCTTACCAGATTGGTGACCCAGACACGCTTTCCTTGACAGAAACTTCGTTTTGAAAACGCTTACTTTGATAGATGGTCCCCATTAAACAGTTAACTTGCTACTTATGATTGCGACATTAAGTCGCAACATGTTTTCTATACCAATGAAGTGGAATTGTATTTTTGTAGTGGTAGACTCACTACACAGATAATAGTTAAATTATTGAAAAAAACTTATCGATAGTTATAATAAAAGATCAGGGATACTCCTTAATATGTTATTCATAAAGCACATGCTAAGGGTGGCTTATACGAAACACATGAATAAAAAAAAAATTTTGAAGTAACTCGCCTTAAAGTTTAGGCAATAGCTTAGTTTAACTAAAACACGTTCAAGTACACACCTTTGCAAACTTGTTCGCAGTTGTCCTTTGAGGAGAAGTTGTTGTCATTTCCTCCACAACCTCCATAGATGAACTTTTCGCACTCTCCGGTCTGCTTGTTGTAGTAGTATCTAGGGAAGTATCCTCGGCAAAGTCCGGTCTCCTTCTCTTGTTCGCACAACTCAACCTTGGGGGCTACCAAAGCTGAAATAAGAAAAGAAAAAAACCTATCAGAAGCTAATAGAAAATGTAAAGTCGATAAAATTACTGGTAACTTAATCTTTTCTAAACAGTGTTTTCTGAAGTTCTTTCGCCAATTAAAGTTTTTAAAAAAAAAAAAGTTAAAGTGGAAGTTAAAGCTATATATTTCAGACTATATACACAACCTTGCCGTAAAGAATTATCTGAGCTTCAAAACAAACAAATAGCTTAAACATTTTAAAACTTTTGACTTAAATATTTTTTAATTACTAAACATTTTTAAAAAATAAACAATTTGGCAAGATTTCACCACCTAGAGGGAAATTATCAAAATCTATGAATAATTCTTAATTTGTTCAAATTAAGAGCTCATAATACGGAGTTGAAGTAACTTTTAAATATTAAAAACTTAGATCAAAAACACTCTTTATATTCACAAAAACTGTAGTTTCTCCTCTTATTCAAGTTTTGCGCAATTAGACCTTGTTTTAATGATGGTTATAAGACCTAAAATAAACCTTGAGGGGGGGGGGATTTATCCTCGGTTTGAAGACGCTTTCTACTCTTGATTTGCAAACGAGGATTCATCTTCGATTTCAGAAGGTTTTTCAACCCTTGTTTAGAAAAGGCCCATTCAATCTCCATATAAGAGGTTTGTTTATGCAAGTTTACTGCGAAGCTCATAGCGCGTAAACTGGCATAGTTAAATTTAGCATTGTTTAAAGCTTGCATGGTTTATTTGCTAGTCATTACAAGCCTCGTTGTACTTTATAATGAACAGTGTCGATGACATTAAAATTGCTATCTGGGAGAATATTAAAGTCTTAATTATGATGTCATTACCTCCGCATTTGTTGTAGCATTCATCTTCAGTGGCGAAGTTGTTTCGGTTTCCTCCACAACCACCATAGATGAACTTCTTGCACATACCCTCTTCTTGGTCGTAATAGTAACGGGGCATGTAAGCCAAACAGTTACCGGGTGCAGCCTTCTTGTCACAATCTGGGCGATCTAAGGCTCTTTGAACTGAGAAAGAAAACGCAAAATAAGTCATTAATATAAACAAGTGCACTTTGAAAAAATTCCTGATCAAACTACGGTTAAAAAGTACTGACATCCTGGCTGCATCATACGAAAAATTCATTTTACCTTAATTCCATTTTACCGTAAAATTTCATACCGTCTATTTTACAGTAACATTTATTTAATTACATTAATTTTGCAATAAATATTACTGTGACAATTGCAAATGTTTTGTTCCGAGAAATTTTACGGTGAAAAGGAATTAAAAAGTACCGGTATCCTGAGTTCCGGTGCCTTTTACCGTAATTTGATCTGAAATTTTTTACAGTATAGTATCACTTTACACAAAAATAAAATAGTTAATCTCTAATTATAAGTTGGAACCTCATTACATTTCGTTCATTAAAGCAATTTTTGTAGAACTCCTACACAAGTTTGCTATTAAAATTCATTTGAAATTTTAGATATTAGGTAATAAAAATGCAAATATTAAAAAATTTTACAAATATAATGATAAGCCCCATTTCATTTCGATCAGAGTGGGCGTTATCCGTTAAAAAATAAATAAAAAAAAATTTGATTTCCATGGAGGTAAACAGATGTTTTGTATGGTTCCGTTAAGTCTGCGGCAAGTATCATTTTAAATATATAGACAAGTTGAACATCATATTTAGTCACTTCATAATTAATTATAAGACCTTGTATAAATATGTAAGCAATTTTCAAAATTTTCCGAATTTTTTTTTTAAAAAAAAACAACTATTTTCCAAAAAAAATCTCTTACTTTCCAAAAAAAAATTATTCCAAAAACTTTTTTCCGATCATTATGGTAATATAATATGTATTAAAGAAAATACAAAAATCTAAGTCTATCATCAAAATCTCCAAAAAATCTAACACATATCAATGAAATTGTAAAGCTATCAATGCATATTTATTCTATATTAGATGATCCTCTCTCATATCGGCATAAAAAAAATCTTGTTATTGTCAATAAAATGAAAAGCTACCTGGGCAAGCACTTTCGCACTCTTCAAGAGTTCTGAAGTTGTTTTCGTTACCACCGCATCCACCATAGATAAATTGTTTGCATTGACCAGTTCTCTGGTCGAAGGCATATCGTCGGAATAAACCCTTGCAAACACCTGTTTCAGCGGTCAAGTCGCATACATCCAAACTGGTTGAGCCTGGAGCAAAAGAATGAACATGCTATTTCAAAAGGGCTTGTTTATTTTTAGTAAATGTAAAATAAAAAATACATATTATTATGTTTAATTTTTCTATTGTTAGCGTTCATTTTTCGTTACATAAATTTGGGCAATCACTCCATTACAAATTTTAATTCGTGTATAAATATCACGCAAAGACACAGGATGATACAAGATTAGGTAAAATGATCAACACCATAAGCAAATCAACACTGTTAGAATTTTCATCCTGAAATTACGGTAAAATAACCGGAAGCAGTCCGTCCGTCCTATTAACCATAAAATTTATAGTTAAGAACATTTTTTACCTTTACAGTTTCGAAACTGTTTGCAATTGGTTCGGTTAAGAACCCGTGAATTCAAAACTATAAGTTTTGTAACCATTTACAGCAAGCACTGTTTCTAAACAATAAATTTAAAACTTAAACAGACATTAGAGCTCTATAGTGGCTGCGTCATTTATGCGAGAATGACAGTTTCGCATTCTAATAATACAGGGTCAGAGATTGAAAAATGCAGGACAGTGGAACCTCTCTACGCATTGAACGAATGGAGGAATATTGTGGTGTCTATGCTGAGATTCGAACCCTTTTTAAGTTAACAAAACTAAACTCAGTGGCACGACAGCCCATAAAGGGCCAAGGCCTACTGTGCCCATCTCAGTTTTCTTGACCTTGGGCTCTGGAGTGCAGGAGCAGATGTTCCGGTTAGATGGTCAGCCGAAAGCGAAACCCCCAGTGTTTAGCTCCCAAGCATGCTTGATACTCATTTATCGACAAGGGATGAAAGGCTGAGTCAACCTTGCCCGTCCCGAGGATAAGTTAGTTCAAGATAATACCTTGTCATATGTAGTTAAAATTTCAATTAATTTCGTTGAAAACTAAAAAACTTTTCCTGCAGAATGTATGCAAAACACTGTTTTAAGGAAAACTATTCTAAGTTCGCAAGTTAAGTGTGTATGATCAGAAACAATAAGATTTAGAAAATTTATCAATACTTGAGATATATTTTAAAAATTATTAGCAGTTGAATTTAAAAAGAACAGTTACCAGCACAAGTTTGTAAGCATTCCTCTTCAGTTGCGTATCGGTTACCGTTACCTCCGCATCCTCCATAAACGAATCGTTTGCAGGTGCCAGATTTGGTATCGAAATACCATGATGGGAAGTAAGCTCGGCACAAACCAGTTTCAGCTTCACCACTGCATGACTTTTCAACGGCTAAATATTAAGATATTTTTAATGAGAATAAAACACTTCGATATAATTATTTAAAAAATGCTGTGAAGTTTTGAATAATGTCTTGTGGATAAATTGCCTGCGAAAATTTCACTTAAGAGATATACCAGATTTCTAACTTAACAGATTACTTTTTTCGATTAAAGGAGGCTTTTTATATTACATTTTGATTACATTTTAATATTGTATTTCTTTTCTTTTTTTCAGTAATTTTACAATTAGTTTATTACTCGACAGTATTTTTATTTCGGAAGGTGGCTTATTTTAAAATGGAAATTTCGCAATAAATAAAAAATGAACTCTAGGCTTAAATTATTAAAAGAGGTTTGAAACACATTTTAAATGTAAGAAAATGATTTAAAATACCTAACAAACAGTGTTTGTAAAAAAATTATTGCGTGAAGTGCGATCAGATCTTTGCAAATATGAATCTATCAAAAAATTTTCGATTATACTAAACTTTTAGCAATTTTATGCAAATTTTCTTTTTATGTTCACCTATTTGCACGTGCTTTTAATTCCTTAGTAGTTTCACAAAGCAATTCACAAGAGTTTCGGCAACTTCAAAAAATAGGTTTCACTTTAATTGTTAGGCTATAACATAATTTCGGAAAAAATTTAAAAGATTTTTAATAACCATATCTAGAAGTTGCTCTAGTTTGATTATCTGATTAAATGTACAAAATAAATTAACTTCCTTCAATGTTTTGCTACAAACATTTGTTCTACTTAACAAAAAAATACGATTTGTAAACATAAATGTAAACATGTCTATCCAACTCGTATTTAATAATATTGTACTGTGGTTTTTAACTTTAATAAAACCAATAATTATATATAGAAGAGAATTATGAACCATGAACAAAGCTGAGGGAAATAAATTATTAATATTCGAACGAGAAATAATTATAAAAATAATTGCTGCTGTCAAAGAAAATGATATCCAGAGGATCCGTTACAATAACGAATTTTACCCCAAATTAAGAGAATCAAATATTTAGGAAACCAAAAAGGAGATATATCAAATAAGATAGCTTTGACATATCTAAACATACAATGATTTAAGCCCCCAAAAAAGCGACAATTCAAAAATGTGATATAGAAATAGAGGTACACCAAACACCAGAAGATTTGATACAGTTTAGAAAACGTTAGAGAACTCTGGCAGTGGATAATTTCAGTAATTAAGTTATTAATATTCGAACGATATATAAAGTTATTAATATTCGAACGAAAAATAATAATTAAAAATAGTTAGTGCAATCAAAGAAAATTATGTCCAGAGGATCCGTTGTAATAACGAATTTCACACCTAATTCAACAAACCAAATATTGTGGAAAATATAAAGGAAATATATATCAATTCAGATAGCATGAATTTATCTACAAATACAATTATTCAAGTCCAACAATAAAGGGACATTTTAAAACTGTGAATAAAAAAAGAAGAAAGATAGACTAAACACAAGATGACGTGATACAGTAGAGAAAACGTTGCATGAAATTGGGGTTAACCATTAAATAAATGGGGCGATGGATAATTTCTGATGGAAGAGACAGCCTTGTTCTGCAGCAGACTGTAGAGCTGCAGAAGAAGAAGTACTAATGTTAAAGTAAAACGAAGTTAAACACTTAGATTTTGTGCAAGTAAACTGCTACATAGGTTATATTCCAAAATAAAAAACTATTTTTCTTACAATCAAAAAATTATGACTATTGTTTTTATTTTAAAACTCATATTTATGAACTCCTTAAGTTAAATACAGGATTTATCTAAACGACTTTTTTTAATTAAAACCTTGATATATGTTTACCTTGGGGTGGGCAGTGTTCAGGCAACACACAGCTACCATCCATTGCCAAAACGTAACCTTCATCGCATTCGCATCCGATCTTGCACATAAGAACACATACTTGGGGTGGGCTTAGGTAGTTCTCACACGTCAGTGGACATGCTGTACCACATGTTGTGTAGTGGGAATTGGCAGGACAATCCCTGACATTGAAGTCTAAGGAATAAAATATCGAAGGTTTATATATCAATTTTAGAAATAAGTCTTAATGGTTTTATTATAAAATCAATGGAATAAGAACTTATAATAAAATTTTTTACATCTTGAAAATGCAGTTATAACTGTGTGGTTTATGCTTAAAAATTGAATTTAAAAAATAATTTAAATTATTTTGAATTTTGCTATAAATATTCTTCATACAAATTATAGTTCTTAAAAATTGCAATGTAATACAGATGCAACACTGATCAACTATTTGCTTAAAGAAAAAGCTGCAGTATTTAGATAAATTTGACAAAATAATTGTCTATAAAGTATAGCACTAATTTAAATTGATAAAGTAGACATTTTTTAAAACTCTTCACAGTCTTTTATTTTTCTGTGCCTTGATTTAAAATTAGATAAAAATTAAATTGAAATCAGATATAACATTCTGAAAATAGAAAATAAAGTTTGTTTTAGAGTACAATTTTTATTGGATATGTTATGGGATATATTATATTATATTATATTATATTATATTATATTATACTTATTTCAAGCACGAACAAAGTGAATTAGTTATTATGAAATATTTACCTATTTGGGCTAGAGACCCAGCTACTAGGCAGAAAAGAACTAAAAGTTGCATGATTGTACTTGATAGATTTTCAAGCTTATTTCTAAGAGGAAGATACACTAAAAATTCTTGCTTTATATAGCTATCGTAAATTTGCGTGTCTGTTCATTTTCCCACGCAAATAATCTCTTCATTGTTTTGTTTTGTTTTATATTATGTAAAAAAACATATGCTACACGCAAGATTCGCAACGTTTTTATTTTAATAAATCAACTGTTCAAATATTTTGAGATAAGTTGATTAAAGTCAAAAGTACTCAATTGTCCTTAAGATAATTTTTTTTCTACCCCTGAGGATGTTTTACGTCAGCATTGTGGTCGATTCGAGCCGGGTGCGTTAGGAGGCGAACGCTCTATCCCCCATGCCACCACGGCTTTAAAAGGATTATCCTTGAGTCTGGTCCCTTAAATCAGAAAAAATACCAGAATATCAAAAATGTAAAATATTTTATTGTTATAGATCAAAAACAGCGCTGTCATGGTGTCATGGAAACAAAATATTGTTAAAAATAAAAACAGAAAAAACCACTAGAAAAAATTCAATCGTCTTAAATCTCGCTAAATTCATAGATTGTGAGGTGAAAGTAATAACGTGCTAGAAACAAGCATACAGGTTTAATTAAAAAGTTATTTAAAACTGAAGAAATACTATATTTAACTGTCAGTGGTAATTTTAAACATAAATTTGCTTATTTTTACTCTTCCAAGCGACATATCAATTCCAAGGCATTTAAATTTATTAAATTCTTATACTAAAGCCTTATAACACTTACTATTATTAATGATAAATAATTGTTAACAACTTTCTTGAACACAAATCTTAAATTTTCAATCCTTATATAATAATCATTTAAAAAAACTTTATTTAAGAAAATAAATATCGGTTATAGAAACCATGAAGAACAAGTCGACAAATAGTTCGCCAACAAGTAACACTACGTAAGGTTTTGATTTACACAGATCACATCGGCTACAAATACACATAGGTGCATGCATCAAATGTGATATGAAAAGTAGATAATAAAAAACCATTAATTAAAAAATGATTAAAAATTTTAAATTGCCAAAACTCTTTAAAAATATGACTTCAAGGAAATACTTTAAAATAGCAGGAAAACTTTGAATAGTGACAAAATTTCAACCAAGTTAACAGAAGTATATATATAATTCTATCAGTTTTAAAAATAAAAAATTTATATATTTTGCATGGTAATAAAATTGTAAAATGCTATATAATATTTAGTTTCCCAAAATTGCATATAAACAACACTTCACTTCGAAATTGAAGAAAAACCCCATACCAGCACAAGTTTGTAAGCATTCCTGCTCAGTGGCGTATCTGTTACCGTTACCTCCACATCCTCCATAAACGAATCGTTTGCAAGTGCCAGATTTGCTATCGTAATACCAAGAAGGAAAATAAGCATCACACACGCCAGTTTCAGGTTCACCACTGCATGATTTTTCAATGGCTAATTTAGGAGATATTAGTAATATGAATAAAATAAAATTCTTTTCAACAATAAAACTGTATTATAAAATTGTATTAAAAAAATCACTAAATATAAATAAATAATTTTCTTCTATTAGAACCTTAACATAATTCTTGCTAAATGCTGTAAGAACTTATTACAACAGTATCGATATGTGGTAGCAATCTTCATACATTAAGTTCTTATACAAAACAATACTAGTAGTACCCATTTGGGTTACGATGGGTTCAGACAGAGTTTCGAAAAGTACAAACCCGGACTCGGACTCTTTAACCGAAAGAAGCCACCAGATTCATTGAATTTTCTTATGCCTTTTTACAACTTCCAAAGTAAGCAAATATGCAAAAAACTGAGTTCTTCAATTACTAAGAATAAAAAATCGACATAAAATGTTTAAATGTTAAACAAAAATTAAGTAATATTATATTCGTAATTTAGTACTCTGAATAAATTGTTTTCTTTGGCTTCCCCCTCGCAAGTTTTGACTATATATCGTCGAGAATTTCAGCCTTAATCTGTCAGATTAAATATCGAACTTTTACGGTTTCAGGCACAAAACTCGTCGGGGGTATGGACCTCAAAATATGAACCGGAGTAGCAAAAGTTTTCTGTAATAATAAGGTTCTATAAAAGAAACAATGAAAACTGAGGTTCAACAATGTTTTTTTAATTTCTTCAGTACTGGGCAAAAGTTACGCCTTTCAGAAAAGTGGCGATTTGCTGTAAAAGCATCCTACGTAAATTTTGAAGACAGCTGAGAAAAGCTTTATTTAATTTTGTGCCCGCTTTCTTACATATTAAAATAATAAACACTCTCATATAGTTAGACTTACAATTTTATTAAGAACGAGAAGATGTATCTAACATAGTGTTGCAAGGCTCTTTCGCCAAAGCAAATAAAAAACCGCCACAGTTTAAGTGCCTTACACTTGAAGCTAAGCTGTAAATTTATACTAGATAAATTTATACATCTTGCCGTAAGGAATTATCTGAGCTTTATACTGCACATACTTAAAGACTTTAAAAATTGCAATATATTTTTAAAGATCGATAGTTTAGTAAGATATTTTAATCTAAAAGAAAAATAACAAAGTCAATGAATAATTCTCAATTTTTGCAAATTTGCACGATATGGATGTTTGTTCCTGTGTGTTGTTCTCTCTAGCGCGATGTGGGAATGTAACCCACCCTATGAACAGGTATCTGTGACAGTGTTGCGTGGGTAATGCTACTCGCCTCCGTGACTTAAGTTCACAGGTGCCCACCGGGTAACGTAAAATGAGTAACACTTCTGACATCTTCCGAGGTTAAGAACGAGAGTTAAAAAAAATAATACCTGGAATTAAAAAAATAATTTATAAATAAATAAAAAAATCTTCCTACTTTGAGCTGGGCAGTGTTCAGGCAACACACAGCTTCCATCCTTGGCAAAAATGTATCCTTCATCGCATTGACATCCGATCTTGCACATGAGAACACATGGTTTGGGAGGGTCTTGGTAATTCTCACATGTCAGGGGGCACGCTGTTGTGCATGTTGAATAGTTGGAATTGGCAGGACAGGACAAGTTAACGTCTAAAAATAACAGAGCATATATAAAAGCTTCAAAATTTAAATATAACTACTGATGGTTGTAATTTCATAAGAAATGGATAAGAATTTTCAAAACGTGTGATGGAAAGTGATAGTTCAGCTAACTATTTGAGCAAGGAAGCACCAGAATAAATTAAAATTTAAACTTGACAAAATTATTGCGTGAAAAAAAGGAATAATAAATTATAAAGACAAAAATTGAGGCTTTAAAAAACGTAGTGGTGTTTTATTTATTTTTTCAACTTCATATAAGATTAAGTAAAAATAAATAAAATGAAATAAAAAAAACGAAAGAAAGTAAAGATACAATGTTTTATTGATTCATTTATATACTCAATTGTCCTTAA